ATCAAGCATATTAGGTGTCTCCACCGATATATACCTATTAGGCTTATTCCATGTAGGGTTAGAAAATGATCCTGGTTGTCCCATTGGTACAGAGGGTACTTGCTTCGATGACGCCAGTGGAGCATATTGTTGATGTCACATATGGTGGTATAGCTTGCAATGAGGTGACATTAACTGGCCCTTGAATATTGGCACTGAAATTGGCCACTGTTTCTAATATCCAAGATGACTAAATATTAATAAAATCTTTTTCATTTATATTATCACCATATAGTTGTGTTACAACACGACATTGTAAGCTATGACCTTTTTTTATTTGTCAACAAATCAATCCTATTGCTTATTAATTACATCTATCGGAGTCTATGAAGATCCACCTTGTATTTTATGTATCCCTTCTTGAGCCATATAAGACAACGAATATTTTGAGAAGAAAAAAAATGCCACCTCTTTCTATAGAAATAGGTAATAATCAAGAATTCGAGGTGGAAGAAGTCTTAGACTCAAGGTAATGCCAAAATAGGTTGAAATATCTTGTTCATTAGCAAAGATATGATATTAGTGAATGCACATGGGAGCCATCAAAGAATCTTGTAAATACAGCAAAGAAAGTTGAAGCTTTTCATCAACAAAATCCATCAAAACTAAGATGAAGAATAACAAATCTTTACTATAAAAGAAACAAGATCAAAGGAAGATAATAATTTATTTTTTATCTTTCTTTGTAGCTTGTGTATATTTGTGATACTAAGGAGATGGAAAACTAATAATCAGCATATTCAACTGAAGAGCTTTCATTTGTGGATTTACCAAATGAAACATTGCAATTGTCACAACCTTCAAGATGACAAAATTGAGATGAAGATCTTCAAGAACAACATGTCCTTCCTCGAATAGATGGCAAGATACAACATATTTGGTATTACAACCTTAGAAGAGACTCCAATGTTTGGTGATTATATTAGAGGTAGGAACAACTCTTAATGGTATTCGAAATGTTTCATTTGAAGGAAGTTACGAAGGCCTCAACAATGACTAAATAACAAAGTGGTCTTCTTGCCCTGCTATAGGATACTATTGATGGCTTAGAGGGCCTATCAACCATCTTCAAATAGAGCAAATATCGGAATATGTAGCAAATAAAATTCATCGCATCTTGGACTTCTTCAACATATGAAGACTGTTTCTTATGGAACTTGTTCCTAAAAGGGGGGATAATATCATGGACATATATATTTAGTTCAATAATTACTTATATGATTAAGTAAAAGTAGATAAATATAGATTAATTTTATAAAATCTTTTACTTTAGCTTCTTATAAGCTTCATAGATGCGGTTTTGATTTTAGATGTATTTGTAGGTGAGAAACTTGGCCAACAAGTTAACTACATGTTGATAACTTGTGGAACAAGTTAACTCTGAATAATAGCTTGTAGAACAAACTAACCATGTGGCGCATACATAGATAACTTGCCTTGCAAGTTAAGACATGTGACTAGCAAAGTCAACATGTTTTGGAGGTCCTATAGGACATTACCATGTAACTTCTAGTTAAGAGTATATATGGAAGCAAGAGTAAAGCCTTCTTTACTCTTGTCAATGCCATTCTAGTCCTTAGTCTTGTTTCAAGACTTTCTAATCTTCTTATTTTTGGTAATAGCCATTCTAGTTAATATTACATTACCTTTTGAGTGATTTTTTAATTCTCTTCAGTGATACAAGAGTGTATTAAGGATTCTCTTTCTTTGAGATTCATATCTCTGATACCAAGTTAAGAATTTCGAATATAGTTTTGGTGAAAAATTTGTGTGATTTGGAGTTTTTGTGAAGAAGATATAAGCACTCAAAGTCAAAGTGTTGAACTTGTATCTACTATCATACTTTGAGGCATAGCGCATGTGTATGAAAGGCTTTTGAGGATCAAATTATGTGGTTGAAAATTTGATTTAAAAGGCTATATTTTGTATATAAAAATTAAAAGATTTGAAGCTAATTCGGAAGAGCAATGACTACTTGAAGACAATACTTCCAAATTGAGGTTTGTTAATGAACCAATTTCATGAGAGGTTTGGTTCTTGCCATAACTTGGGCATTTGGACAAATCTTTGGCTATTTTATTTTTATAAATACTATAATATGTTATAAAACTATATCCAAATTTTATGGCTTTGAATTTCGAATATTTGAGATATGAAAAAATAGTAATTAAGTTTTTATAAATTAGAATTTGGAGTACTTAATAGGGTTTCTAAGATACTAAATAATTTATAGTAGATTTATGATTAATTTTTTTTTGTAGTAAAGCTTAAGGATAAATGCTATATTATATAAAAATTTGATATTCTAAAATTTGGAGAAAAAAAAATCTCTTATAAGAGAAAAATATTTTGAAAAGATTTTATTATAATTAGATATTTTATGCAAAGTAAAGAGATTTTGGAAGCCAAGACTTTATATATATATATATATATATATATATATATTAAAGATAGAGATATAGATCTATAAAAAAATTATGATATAGAGGTGAATCTTTGTAAGTAGATTATAGATTTTCTTTGAGCTTATGAGAAATCTAATTTATCGACAAATAGTTAATTATGATATAGTATTACAAAAGATGTTAAGGTATTTTTAGATGCTTTAGAAAGCCTTGTATATAAATCTTTTTAAATATATATTTTTTTATTATTAGAATTTTTTTATTATTAAAATATTTTTTTATATTGTTATATTTATTTATCTTTTATAATAAGAATAAATCACTTATTAGAGCTTGGCCAATAAGTTGAAGCTAAACTATCTACAACTAGGTATCCAATGTATTTTCAATTAGAAAATTATGCCATATGACAATGCTCTTCAATAGCAAGACAATAAACATCATCTTTGCTAGTGATTTGAAGCTTTTGGATGTTATTGCTTTAAAGTAGAAGATAGCTTGTTGATATTAGTACAAATGGCAAGCAAACAATGATAAGACAACTTTTTAGCATTGCATTGAAGATGATTAAGATGGTATTGATAAAATTATTTGTGTATAATGTGCTTTGCATCAACTTGATTTTGTGGTCCAAGTGGAGTATTTGAAGTTATATAACGACTAATTTGTCAACATCTTGATAGGCCTTATGGCTTATTTTTTTTTGCTAATTTAATTTCATCAAGAGAATAGATTGTATATATTTGAAGTTTATGAATGAGAACTGGTCATCCATGAAAAAACTTTTCAACTTTTTGAAGCAAAAGTACACTACCATCTACAAATATCTCAACTAAAAGAAACCAACATATATTCTTCTCCCTATTTAGAAGGTGAAACTACTCACACTCAATGATGTAGAAATGATCACTACTATTGTGATGTTCTTGCAAGGACTTATTATTCTCCTTAATTAGTAAAATATATAACTTGAAGACTTGATTCAATGGCTTATATTACTTTGGAAAGTGAAAGGTCTGCATAGTCCTACAATTCTTGTCCTGATTGATGGCACTCTCAATGTCATTTGCAATTCGTTCTATGTGGCTCTTACTAATGAGGAGGCCTTTATTCAAGACAAAGGAAGCTTTATCATGAGCATATTAACTGCATTGGTTGTAGAAGAAGCTGAATAAGTGGTTTGTTCTAGGGTGGATTTATTTGCTAGTCTTATTGATGACATCTCTACAATTGTTGCTCAACGTGATGATGATATTTTGAAAGTCCAGCTTAACAATCTCTATCATCTACAGACATCTCTTTTGTGCATATTGATTTGTCATCATAAGATGTAGTTGGAATCAATTAAATGGGAAATTCAAACAATCAAAGATATTGAGAATGATTACAAAGCAATTTTATGTATCTACTATGAAGAGCCTACTTTTAAGATATTTTAGGATTTTAGGATATTTTATAATTTAAAGTGATATGCTCATTATCCATATACATGTAGGCTACTAAGATAAACATTCACATTGACATGTTTTGGACATACTTAATTTTTTTAAATTAAGCTAAACCAATGTCTATTCCAAACATTCATCCATACTACATCCTATTTAGAAACAAACATAAGAGTTTTTCATCCATTTAAATGCCACAACACATCCATTCCTTCAAATTTCAAAGTCAAAAAAGACATTTGTCTATTTCTTTCACATCACCATTCTACAAACAAAAAATATATTCAAATCACCTTAAAAACCACCATCAAAACACACATATTTGGCAAATCACTTGTAACTCCCACAACACACGGGGTGAAATTCTAACACAACGAACACAATCCAATCACGAAATAATCAAATGTAACTATCTCTCACAGACACACACCTCAACGAACATGCAACACAACAACACACACAACGAGGCCAACGAAAGTATTAATGGGACACCGGAACGAATGAATTCAGATACTCATTCATCCACCAGCGGACGAGGTCCTGCGGCGTCGCAGTGGCAGGCGAGCGCGGGATTGTGGTGCCAATGGATCGATGAAGATGTAACTTAGCGATTACAGGGACAGAAGTTTCGCAGGAATTAGACCGAATCGAGCGGAGCTGCTCCACCTACTCTGAGTAGTTTTTGAAGTAGTAGTTCTAGTAGTAATACTTCTCAAAGGGGCGTGGGTTGATTTTACCGACCCACCAACTCCAGTAGGCTGTTTCCTGAAGTATCTGAAGTGCGACGACGCAAAACCGGGAGGATGAACATCTGGATGGTCGCGGGGGGATCCAGCAGCACTAGGGGTGGGGAGGAGTAGGCCAAGGTGGGGGGGGGGGGGGGGGGGCAGGCAGATGCGTCCAGAATAGTACCCGGCAAGCGCGGCGAATTGTACTAGTCCAAATGGGAACCGGTACGGCTACGGTACTCCTTGGACGCATCCGATCAGCGCGCGGCCCTCGCGCCGTCTCACGAAGCAAGCAAGCAAGGTCCATGAAGACTCTTCTCTCCTCCCTGGAATGAATTCATCCCCTCAACCAATCAACCACAACTCTCCCGTCGACGCCTACTGCCACCAGCATTACCACTGCAGCCGCGCGCATCCTCATGTCGCCCTCTTTTTGATCATATGAGAGCCCCACCCTTCCCTAGATCCTACCTGCCCTACCCGCACCACCCTGTACTACTTTCTTCACAAGCTCTGCTGGTCGCAACTCCCGATCTATCTCCTCCTCCTCCCGATCTTTCTCCTCCTCCTCCCGATCTTTCTCCTCCTCCTCCCCTTGGTTTGTTTCCCACGCGTGTTTGAGCCCTACTTTGTGCAGATACTAATCTGCCGTGGTTCGGGTACTGCTGGGTTGTTGTGACAGGAAGGTTTCGTGTGCGGTGGGTGGACTCGTTGCCAGGGATCGGAGCAGGTCGGAGTCCGCCGCGAGTTGCAGTTTTGCGAGGCACTGAGTGCGAAAGAGCCTGAGTGAGTGAGTGAGAGAGAGGCGAAGTGTGCAGTGGAGGGCGAGGAGCGTGGGGTGGAGTCGTCGAATCAGACGTTTCTGCGTTTTGGATGGAGAGTCGGGGACCTGGTTTGTATCAGGTGAGTGAGGCGAATTTATGTGTTTTGCAAGAACTTGTCCCACTATTTTCTCGTGGCAGTGGTTTTGTGGGGTTTAGTGGTTCGTCAGGACTGCTGGTTTGTAGCTCTGTCGAGCGTAGAACTGCTAGTATCCGAACTTTCGGATTTTTCATGGATATGTAGCAGTAGTACTTTTACAAGTGACGCTTAATCTCTTCAGAAGTTCGATTCGGCGAGTGATATATTTTAGGTGGAGCCCACTTGTGTGCTAATCTAACTAGTTGAGAAGAGATAAATATTAAACCTGAAACTGGCAATTGTTGTGTATTTCACGAAAGTATTGGGATTGTCGGTTCTTGAGGTCAAGTGATCGTGTGAATGTTGACTTTACTCCGGAAACCGGTGAAGGAATAGACACGGTATACGCAGTTGCGAGTGAACCGTTTTCTTTGACGAGATTGATCTTTCTATTTATTTATTTATTTATTTATTTTATTTCTATTGTCGAATGCTTTTGAGATTGAGGTAGCCTTTGGCGTCTGCTCACTACTTGTCAACCCCATGTCTGGAATTCCTTTGTTTGCTGGAACGAAGAAGCAGTAACCAATTTTGTGTCATACGATGGTGTTGCATCTTAATCACGTCTATTGAATGCCTTTTTTGAAAAGAATTGAGCAAAAAGCTTCCGTTTCAGTTGGTGGGCGATATGCTTACAACCGTGTGACTTCTGGTTTTGTTTGCAGAAAAAAATTGCTCTATAGAAGATGGGACAACTATGCATGTGAATTTGAAGCAGATGACTTTCCGAGATCACCAGAAACGCCGCAGTCTAAAAACAATTTCCAGTTTGCTCGCAGTAGACAATGCGATGCCACAATCAAGCGGGAGTTGACTTTAAGGATGAAGGTTTCAGCCAATTAGTCTGATGAGTTCCGGTCATGCCCTAGATTTCCGCATATGCTAGTCCGTTGAAATACTTTAGCAATCCTCATTAACTTGATGCGCCTGAGGATCTCAATCACAAGTGAACTATCTCTACAGCCGTTACGGTTTTGCCTATAGTTCACATTGACGAGCTCAACCTAGACTCTCAATCTTCACCCTATATCTGAATTCCTGAAATGAAGCTTTGTACCTTGTGGAAAATCGCTGACCTGGGCGAAGAATGATTGCTTATTGGCGGAGTTGCTGGTTTGGAAGCAATGCGTTCATGAGACCATCGACAATTGAGTTTATGTTCCCACGTGACCTTCATCTGAGATTTGTTACGCAAGGGACAGGTTGGTCGCAAGAAGCCCTCGAAAAGTTTAGCACTTCGAGATTACTGAGACACTGACTTAGGAATGCGTCCTTGAGCTGTAATTAGATACTTGATGATCTGGCCACCGAATGTGTGTGCAAGATAGTACACCGCAGGGGCTAGTAATTTGATTAGTTAATGGTGACGATGAAGGTGTTCGCGGTGTTAATGCTGCTACTCTACCTCTGCCTCGGAGCGTTAGCAGCTCACTTTGGGTTCTCAGCAAGACACACCAGTAACACCAGAGTATGTGACAATTTTCTTCGATCTTCATGTATTTTCCTGAGTGAATTCTGTAATCATCGAGGCTGAGTAGTGCGTAACGGATGAACACGAGTGTGCTGATGCGATCGATGGCTGTTGCAATGTTGTAGGAGTACCATGCCTTGCTTGTCAGGGACATTTGCATCTATCCGGACAGTCCCGCACAAACCACGGGGCTCCTTGCGGGCCTCATTCTGCTCGTAGCTCAAATTCTTGTCATCGCAACATGCGGTTGCACATGCCACTGGAACAACAGGAACCAAGTGGGGGGCGTGAATGCCACTATGGTCGGGCTTGGCTGCATTCTCGGCTGGTCAGTGATGTACCTTCAACCTCCCATCACTAGCATTCGGTGCTTTCTGGCTCTAGTTAAACTATTGCCACTTACTATCAAGAACCGAATTTTCATTTTTTCTTTGTTTCTGTTTTTGTTTTTCGTATAGTTTTATTGACATGGATATTGTTGTGGTGGTCATGTGGTTGCAGCTTTGCCACTGGATTGTCTGCGGCATTTTTTGCATCAGGCAGTGCGTTGAGCAGACCAGCGGAACGATATAGGCAGCGGCACAAGACTGACGACTCAAATGACTGTGCCCAGCCGAAGTTCACCGTTGCCATTGCTCTGCTATTTACTGCCGTCTGCCTGGGGATCATCTTCTTCATCGGAATCATCCGAGAAGCGCGAAAGGGTGTGTTGACAAATCCAATACCGCAGGTCATTCCGCCCACCGCCGTAGTACCCGAACCAGACGACCCTTCTCGTTTTCAAGACTCGGCACCTCCTAGCACTCAATGGCTACCTGTGTAGTACTTCAACATATGGCGCTGTGGGATTCTTAACGAGTACTCGGAGCTCAGTATGATGCTACTTTGTGCTCACATAAAGCATCTGATTATAGCAATGGCGTAGATAGAGGTCATCGCTCCGCACACTTCGAGCTCTCCACCGACACCTGAGGTGGGTCGAAGCCTCTGTTCATGCACAATCGTTTTTTATTTTTATTTTTTATCAACGCTACGAGCCTTGCGATGGTTACTCGCACATGGACTGCCGACAGAGGGAAAAAAACAGAAACCATGAAAAGAAGAAGCACGCAAGTGTTGAACAATCGATCCAGACCCAACTTCTGCCAGACCTTCGAGAGAGTCACGGAGAGCAGACCATCCAGTCCACGCAACCTTCATACATTACACATCTTTGAAACTTCTGGAGCATGTTCGTCTTGGAACAACCCACCAGGATCTCATGAGATAATATTGTCGCAGACGTGAATATCAACCTGAAAACGTTATGTTCATGAGGGCATTGTTCCGCTGGGTAGCCACATATACTGTCAAGCATTCGTTTTGTTGCATGTGGAAATCTATCTTCGTCGTCGATTGTAACGATCAAGAAACACATTCGTCAACGGACGTGTGCTACGGAGTTCAATGAGAGAATAAAATGACTCCTTCCGTATCTGTCTGCCTCCTTCTGTGGCTTGGGTGTGTGTGTATGTGTGTCGGTAGAATATGCTCACCATCGGATTTGATTTTTGATTTTTCTTCTTTCTCTCTATCTCTGCTGCTGCTGGCATGGCTTAAAGCTTGATATGTGTTGGGGAGTGTAGTACAACTTCCAAGATCATCCTAATCCTACTTCAATCTTCTTGTGTCTTAGGATTTCATTTGAATTCTTTTACCCAACTTTTAATTCTAAATTTTTAAACACCAACTCCAAATAGCTTGTACATAATGTTAGATTCTTGTATCAATTTCAATGCACATCAAGGCATTTAATGATCTATTGTAAATGTTTATTTCAAAACCTAATTGTAAGTCTAAGAAAAGCAATTTGCAATATATATGTTGCAATTTTACCTTATTTAACAATTCCTTATTTTGACAATCATATCAAAAACAAATGCTACAATCTAGGACTCTAATGATGCTATTTTGAATTTATAAAGTTTGATAATTCTTTCTAGTTAAACACTTCTTTACATTATTACCAACAAATATCTTTTGCTCAAATTTTTTCACCAAGATAGCTTAAGAAGAGATTCAAAAAATCTTGTTCCAATCCAATACCTTTTTTATATACAAATGTGCTCCAATCCAAGATCAATAATCTACTACATTTTTAAATCAATGTGAAGCTTACAAAAAATACTTCAATATATGAACAATTCTATACTTTTCTTTCTCCTAAGCAACTACACCCCTAGATACAATTAAAACATTCACAAAATCCAGGACCTATGTCAAAATTTGCATTTTGTGTTGGTTGTTTCCAACAAATTCTTCAAGACACATTCTTATTGTGCCTTTACACACGTTGATTATGGTGTATCATTGATCGCTTAGGAGAATTGTATATATATATATATATATATATATATATTTCTCAACTTGGTTCATCAAACTCCTGCAGCTCCCCTTTTATTCATTCAGGTCAACCGCTCCTTTTTTTATCTTCCTTCCATAGCTTTCCAGACATGCTTTAGTATTCCTCTCTTACCAGTGAGCATTTCTCGTGGCTCTTTTAAGTGTGAATTAGCCAGCTTAGCTTCCAAATTCACTTTCTCAATTACTGCACAAAGACGTCGCACATCCAAGTTCAACTTCATCTCAGTAGCCAACTGCTCTTTGTACGCTTCGAACTCCTCAGTAAAATTTCGCGTCTCGATCGACCTTGACTTCTGATTATAGTCAGAACAAGCAGCGGTTTTCTTGTCCAGAGCTTGTTTTAACAAGCCCAGTGTGTGGTTAACATTTTCCTTGGAACATGTAAGATCCTGAACAACCGTCAACTTCTTGTCAGTCTTCAAAGCAATGTCAAAATCACAGTGAAGATCCATCAACTCCCTCTCTTCCCCTCTGAACTGGGATTCCAAGTGTGCACGCCGGTCCTTTATGCTACCTCACCTTTCTCCTTCTATGTTAAATTGTATTTAGATTCTGCAGTCTCACCAGCCAGTTGCAAGGCCCACTCAGAAGGCAGCGAGCCTCTTATCCATTTCATGTGTAATATTTCCCGTTTCCTTGAGCCGATGTTGAAAGCCTTTCGCTTCTTCTAAAGCACTCAAAAACTGTTCGGTTCCTTCAACTTGTCATAAATCTCGTTTATTTTCTCACTATTAATCTTAGTGACTGCTTTGGCCGCGTTCAGAGTATCAATGATACTTGTGCTGCTGTCAGCTTCTTCCACCATCTGAGTAGTCTTTCCTCGAAATCCTTCACGTTTTTCTTAAGTCTTGTTCGCTCAACACCCACGCTTTCATTCTCCTTCATCTGGTCTAAGTAGTCTCTCGTCAAGCTTTTGTTCTGCACCAGAGAATTTATCACAAAGCTAATTGTTTCTTTTACATTGCTTTCAAACTCCAAACAAGAAGGAGACGGCAATGTGAGTATGCATGATGCATATGCACCATTATGAAGGCCTCTTCTTTGGAAAGATTGATTCACCCAACATGTGCATTAATTGGGTGACTTTGAGGGCATTGATAGCCGGGTCAGCTTGAACGCTTGGTTGGCTGCTTTTTAGTCTTGCCTTTCCTCAGAGAGTTGTTGCAAACGTCCCCCTATTCTTATGGAAATTGTAATATCATGTCCTCAACTGTGCCTGGCCAGTAGTCACCATCAAAAATATGGCACACGAGCTACTTGCATCTTAGCTTTGCACTGACCAGTTGAGGTAAAAAAGAGGTCCTATAGATTAGTGATTTCAACAACAATCCCATTATTGCTTGCCTTCCGCAGCACCGTCAAGTACCAATCTCGAAGCTTGAGAAACTTGGGCATTTTTTGAATTTACGAATGATAATATAAAATACTATCTTCTTCTCTTTTGATGTGAGAAGGCCCAGATGTAAGAACGACTATGAGCTTTCCTTCGACAAAATTTCACGGTTAACGTAGGTCCGCAAAGTCTCTCCATAAACAGTCTTCACAAAGTGTTTCATAGAGTCCAGATATGACAGGTGCACCTTTTGCTGATTTGGAAGAGAGATTTCAACCCCACACTTTTGAAAATACATGCCAAAGATGCAAACTTCTATCACATCTATCTTTTCCAACAACAAAACAATCTTTGACTTACAAGGATAATTTGTATACTTTTGTCAATTCTTTTCTTGCCTCTAGTCTAGTTTAAGATTTTCTAATTTTCTAATCTTTGGCACTAGTCATTCTAGTTTTTTCTTAAATATATATATATATATATATATATATATATGTTTTTAATTTTTTTTTCATCTTTCTTTAAGAAATGTCTCACATGTTTATTTACAATGTATGAATTCTTGTCTTGGACAATGTCCAAGTCTTATTTTTCATCAAAGAATTAAATTCTTCTTGCATAGTCATTGTCATATTATGTAAAAACTAACTTAAGAATGCACTAGGCATTTGGTTGTGGAAGAATTTGAACTTACTTTGAAGTTTGATTTACAATCCAAAATAGTGCACAAGGTATTTAGAAGCAAATCCTAACCAAATTTCATAATAAATTAAAACCTCAATAAATAATATTTTAACCATTGATTTTGGCCTAAATTTTTTATATTTCTAAATTATTTAATAGAAATAAAAGCACAAATAATTTAAAGAGTATTGAACAAACCAAATAAGAAATAAACCTTCTAATTTGCTTGAATGTTGGTTGGACTTCTTCTCTAATTTTGATGCCAGTATCCTAAAATCAATATTTTTTAATTTCACCATTCAATTGCTCCCAAAATTTATAAAATTGTAATAAACTAAGTTTACTATTATTTTGAAATATTTTATTTCAATCTACTTGATATATTACTACAAATCTTAGAAACTCTTATTATTCTTTTAAATTTGAATTTCTAAGATTCTAATCCACTTGAGTTTTAATAATTTTAAAATATATCATTTAATCAAGATCAAACTTACAAAAAATATTTGACACAACTACAAATATAATCCTACAAATTTTTAATTGTAGATCCACTACAAAATTTACAAAAGGATCCAAAATATAATACCTTTTTATTTCTCAAAAACTATATTACTCCAAAACACTATGATTTTACAAAGCTATTATAAAGTTATTATATACTTAAATCACTCAAATCTAATGGCCATAGAAACCTTTTCTTATTTTCTTTCAAATCCTTTCTTTAATTAATAAAAAAACTCAAAATTTGTTGTAAAGATGCAATGGCATACTTTAGGATCTGATTTCAACCTAAGTTCATAACTTATGCTCTCTAGGTATCAACATCTAGTTTTTTAAGTAATTTCTTTAAAAACTATTATTAACTTCTACCTTAAGAAGCTTATGATATTAATTTTACTATTATATTTTTTTATTTTATTTATGGTCCTACAAAGTAAGTAAAAAAATATTGTATAAATGGCAACATTAACACATTAATTTTTCTACCTCTTTGACTATTATCCATATTTCTAATGTTATTTTTTATGATATTATCATTTTTTGTTCTCTAACATAATTTTTTTTCTTTTATTTAATAGCTATATTACAATACAACACTGCTTTCTATGATAAATTATTGAGTGTTTTTTTAAGCTTTACATCATTACTCACATGATTAGAGGTTTTTACAATATAAATGTCTACAGTGTTAGAAATATAAAGATTGTAGTTTTTAAATTTTGTAGAAAAAAGACATGTTTAGGGTTTAGGCTTTAGACAAAAATATTTGTTGGTTGAATTTTAACTTGTGCTTAAATAAGAATTGTAGAAGCAATAGTAGATGTAACTTTGGATTATTTTGGACCATCTATTTTTATATTGTAACATGGCTATTGGATGAAAGATGAAATTATTATACTAAAAGAAAGCTTATTTTAAAATTATCTTAGAAACATAAATAAAATTTAGGAGCCAATAAAACAATTTAGTTCTAATATTAAATTTTATTAAAAAAAAGATTTTTTCTTATTTTATGAGGCCATAATAAGATAAAAGAAGTTATATCAGTAAAATAGTATTATAAATATCTTTTAATAGAATAAAAAAATAGCTTTCAAAAAACTTTACCTAAATAATTCTTAGATTGATAACCAAAAAGGACCCATTATAAACCAAGATTGAAACCAAACCTTAATGCATAAAATTATGTGCTTACAACAGATTTGTTATTTTTTTTGTTTATTAAAATGGAAGTTTTGAGAGCACTCTTTATAGGATATCTTTGAGCATTAGTTTTGAAGAATTTGAGTTCAATTTGAATTTGTAAGGGTTTTGCAAAAATAAGGTTTTTTTGAGCAAATATATTTTTATGGAATAAAAAAAAAAATACAATTTGATGATGTGAATAATTTTTAAAGCAAATTTACAAGTGAAAGTTCGTGGATTTTTTAATATAATTTTATTATACATAGATTATGAACTTAAGCCCATTTTGATGATTAAATAATATAGTAATTATTGAAGTTTAAAATTTTTTATAATATTTATTTAGGATTTGATTATAATTGATTAG